AATCCCAGGTTCCCAGCTTTCTCAGTTCCCGAGTTACCCAAATTCCAGCCAAAAAATTTCACGGGCCGTACGTGGCAACCACGCTTAACGGGGGGCAGAATTTGATAAATTAAAGTTGTGGATGAGTTGGGAACATTTGCTGAAAGTTTCAGCCTTCCAGCTTCGCTGGTTCCGGAGTTAGCTACTTTCTCGCCAAAAACTTTCACAGGGCCGTACGTAGCAACCACGTAAGACATGGGGCTGGATTTGATAAATTAAAGCTGTGAATGAGTTGGAACACTTCCTGAAAGTTTCAGCCTCCCAACCCCCCTGGTTCCGGAGTTAGCCATTTTCCCACCAAAAATTTTCACGGGGCCGTACTTGGCAACTACGCATAATGGAGGGCTGAATTTGGTAAATTTAAGTTGTACATGAACTGGGGAACATTCGCTGAAAGTTTCACCCCCCCCCCCACCTCCAGCTTTCTTGGTTCCCGGCTAGCGATTCTTGCGCCAAGAACCCTTACAGGGTCGCACGCGGGAAACGCGCACCCCGGGGACTGAATTTAAAACCTTTGAGTTCTATATTAACGGGGAAAATAATCCCAAAATTTTAGCTTTCTAGCTTTTCTGGTTCCCAAGTTATCGATTTTCCCATCAAAACTTTGAGGCGCTCGTACGCGGGGCTTAGACATGCATGAGGAATGATACCGCGGTACTGGGATGGCACTTGGCCAGGGAACCCATTCGCAAAAATTTGACGCTGGAGCTTGCTTGGGTGCCGAGTTGAAATACCCGGACAGACCCACACACAGACTCACACACACACATGCCCACACACACTTTCACACACATACACACACTCATACATATACTCACACACACGCACACACACATTCACACACACATACACACACACCGGGGTCGTCGCAGTATGCGTCTTCGCATTTGCATATATGCAAAAACACACAATAAAATGAAATAAATCTGCATAAGAAAATTTACCGCGCCCTAAATATGAGTTGTCAAAACTTGTCAAAGTTAGTGCCATTGTTTCACTGCAGCTACCTTATTATTCACGGTGGCTAAATTGCACAGCTAGTGTTAACAGAAGCCATCAAGTCCACTAATCAGTGTTGTCGAAATTTGTATTCTCGCAGAATCACAAAACGAAGACTACCACAGAAACTTTCCAATCTGCCAAGTGCACAAGTAAAGTAACCGCAATCGCATTTCAACATTTATCACCGTGCTGCACACAATACTACGAAGTAAAATACCAATTAAATGCCATAAGACAAACGTTAGAATGATTTAGATCGTGTGATCCTCTATGAATACTGTTTACGGAATTTCCAACTGTACATGGCATTCATCTCATGGGTAACCTATATCACCCTGCTTACTGGTGCTGCTGCTGTGTTTTGTCACTGTTTTGCGAAGCAAGCCATCGGTAAGTACCAGACCTCATATCTTCAGAAAATGGCAGCTTTATTACAACCTCAGTGCTTATTTGAGATTTCTGCTTTTTAGTTCAATCAAGTCACTAGAGATTTCAGGATCGGGTATTCCGGAGTTAAAAGTGATAATGCACGGCTTCAAAATGAACAATTATTTATCACTGCAAACTATGACAGGAAAAATTGTCGGTCTGACGCTTACGCTTGGTAGCGGACTGCCACTTGGCAAAGAGGTTGAATCACTTTTACGCGTTTCTGCGTTATCAGTATAAAACAAAAACATGTTAATTTGAAATCAGTTCTGTTTATGCCAGCACAGCTAAATATTTCATCCATAACACGAGGCTGGAATGCTCGAGGCTTAACGGTACGACAGTGTGTTTCTGCATTAGCCTTGAAGCAATCAGGTCGCTAACTTATGAATGGTTGCTGCTTTACATTCATCTTGTATACTCATTAAAGTAAATCATGTATTTTGCACAAAGGAAAATGAACGATTTTCATTTAATGGTGATTTTTATGCGCTTTTGCATATTGTACAAATATAACTCAGGCTGGAACGCACCAGGCTTGCCGATGCGATCATGCGTTTTTGCACTAAACTCGCGGGTCGCTAATTGCAAGAATAATCCCCGCGTTGCAACCAAACACTTGGGCTCATATTGGCCATGCTCTGGCTTCTTCCGTCTTGCAGCAGAATGGGCATCGGCTGGGATGAGGGTATTGTGTTATAGAGCCGCATG